GTTAACAGTAAGTTACTAGTCATGTAACAGTTAGTTTGTTATTGAGTAAGGACTACTGGTACAGTTAACAGTAAGTTACTAGTCATGTAACAGTTAGTTTGTTATTGAGTAAGGACTACTGGTACAGTTAACAGTAAGTTACTAGTCATGTAACAACTACTTGTTATTGAGTAAGGACTACTGGTACAGTTAACAGTAAGTTACTAGTCATGTAACAACTACTTGTTATTGAGTAAGGACTACTGGTACAGTTAATAGTAAGTTACTAGTCATGTAACAACTACTTGTTATTGAGTAAGGACTACTGGTACAGTTAATAGTAAGTTACTAGTCATGTAACAACTACTTGTTATTGAGTAAGGGCTGCTGGTACATGTAACAATTAGTTAATTATTGTATAAATAAATTGTATTGTATATGGTAAACAAAATAACAATTTGATCTAAGTAATAGTTTTTTTCTTCTCGATTTGTAAAAAAAAATACGTGATAAAAAAAATGAACATTATTTTCGAAATCTGCGTAGCTGAATTATGGAAAATCCGTTATTAAAACCGAAAAAAATTTGACGACGTTTAAATTCGTAGTCCTGTCATATTAGTACCAGCATAATGTATTCGAGTTCAAAGTCCCCCTTCGTTATTCACAGTGCCCTATTTACTGATGAAGCTTCTTCATCAACTCCCCTCCCTAGTTGCTTCTACAACTACCCGGGGGAAGGAGGCGTACCTGAACAAAAATCCTGTTAGGACGACCGCCCATAGTATTTGAGCACGTGTACCACGTAGTTTTGAAGTAGTGGTACAGTTTCAAACATGGCGCCCTCGAGATCCCTAGGGAACCAGATTCTGATTCAGTGATCCTGAAAGTCTGCTCTAAGACTCCGTCACCCCTGGGTGACTTTCCGGGAGCGATTCAGCCTATCTTGGGAAAAGGGGTACGCCATATAGACACCCCGAGCCCCCCCTAGTTTGGTCCTGCTAGCTGTTCATGGACAAACAAGTAAGTTCGTTAAGAACGTGAATTAATATAGGAAGTTAGGGCTAGAACATTATGTTTTCTGTTTTTTAAACTATGCTGAGAACGAGATTTGTTAAAACAGGCAAAACTATGTGACAAGCGACCAGACAATAACAAGATGGCGCCACCATCGACCGACTCACCAGACAAAGAAAACGAAGTAACTCAATTATGGTTTTACGTTGAAGTCACGAGCAATGACAGGATGTGGACGATACGACGGAACTACGAGAACTTCCGAATGTTGGACAAGCAGCTCCATCGATGTGTTTACGACCGGAAGTTCAGTGTTCTTCAGGAACTTCCGGCAGTTGAAAATGTAATCGAAGACGAAGTAGCAAAACAGGTGTGTATATTTTATCGTCAGTGTAATATACATGAAATAAAAGGTGGTCAGCTTCTAAAGTAAATATTAGTTAGTCTAATGACTTTACAGAGTTGATCCCACGTGTATATTTTATTGTCAGTGTAATATACATTAAATAAAAGGTGGTCAGCTTCTAAAGTAAATATTAGTTAGTCTAATGACTTTACAGAGTTGATCCCACGTGTATATTTTATCGTCAGTGTAATATACATGAAATAAAAGGTGGTCAGCTTCTAAAGTAAATATTAGTTAGTCTAATGACTTTACAGAGTTGATACCACGTGTATATTTTATTGTCAGTGTAATATACATTAAATAAAGGTGGTCAGCTTC